TTCTCTCTCTCTCTCTCTCTCTCTCTCTCTCTCTCTCTCTCTCTCTTTAGATTGTTGTCTGCCTATTTGCTACCTTATCTCCTTTTCCTTAAGGACTTAAGATATGTTTTTGGGATATAGACCTTTCATTTAAACATTCTTTTTCGTGGCCACATTGCAATGAAGAGAATTACGAGCATTGTGAAGAAAATATCGGGAATTTCATCAGACAGACGTAGCAAATACTCAGTCATAGGTACACGGACCCTAAAATAATTAGAAATTTTATATTTTTGATTATTCTAAAGGTCATTTACGAAAAGATATTTTCCACCAAAGCCCCCGTCGAGCTGAAATATTTTTTGTTCTTTCCCACGTCAATTTTTGAACCAAATCCTGTCTGAGGCTATGAAGTAAACTCGACCTTAAAGTTGAAGATTTTTTTGAAGGTACTGGAATCTTTTTTCCTCATAAATGTCCTTCTTTTCTTTATAACAAAATAATTTTTCCACATATGGCTTGCGCTTTGAAAGAAGAACTGCTTCCATTTTCGAATAATTCAATTTAGCACTTTTTGACGATTTATTTAGAAAAATGTATTTCGTAGCAAATACGCATTTAGTAGCAAATACCCACTTTCAGTTTTTTTGATTTTTCTTTAGAAAATGCGATGCATTGATGATGTAACACCCTCGCCATCGACTTTTAACGCAACATCGTACCAGAATGCACAACGCGTGATCAGTCAACGTCAGCATTTTTTCTTTTTTCATGTCAATAAACAAAATGGCGGAGATTGTTGACAGTGAGGCCGCTCCGGTCGAGACATTTATACCAGAAGTACATCTTGATAACAACGATAGGTGTAAACTCATCGCTTTCTACAAGGTGAGACTAATTTTATGGGACGTGTCCCTAAAATTGCCGAAGAAAGCAGCGAAAGAATAAAAAGAAACCGCTTTAAAAGACCGAAGGAGCACTTCGAATTCAACTTCACATTAGACGAGCTAGTAGGAGTGTGAAAAAGTCTGAGGGCATGTAAGCTGAGAGAGGTCATGAGAATTGGAGAAGATAAAGCAACATTCAGTGAAAGTATTTCAAATGTAGTTTCTGCGGAAATACTGACGTTGTTATTGATCGCGCGCGCAATGTTGCCTTAAAAATCGCCCCGTGTAACATACTGTTGTCGCAACAATGTTGCGTTAAAAGTTGTCTTGTGAAACATGGATTTAAAATCGCCGTTAAAAATTGTCGTTAAAAATCGTCCCGTGTGACATCATCTTAAGAGAATAGATAAGAGAAAGGGTAAGGTAATCTTTATTTTGCCAGGATGGCCCATTCAGCAACGAGGGTGATATCCAAAGGGGTCCTAGACAAGAGAGCGGACAAGTAACACGCCCTAAACGAAGAAAAAATAAAACATTTTCCTTTCATAGTTATTTTTAGTCTCATGTTAAATCTTTAGTCTTCCTCTTTTGTTAGATAAGTTTAAGGCTTGCGTTGTTTCATTGAGTCTTCCTTCGTCTTTTGTTACTTTTTTAGCTTAGATGTTTTGATGAGTAATGCCCTTTAATGAGCTTTAATGCTCTTTAGTGGTTTTATGCTTTTAAATTCTTAAATATCCGTGTGTCTTGTAACTGAACTTATAAATCACATGATCTACCCCGTGAGTAAGAGATCATATAAACTTAATATTACTGGTCAGAATACAAAGGAGTCCCTCTTAACCACCCAGTGAATGAAAAGGTGACAAAGCTATTGGACCACACGGAAGTGGCTAAGGTAGAGAAAGCATACCTCGTGCAGCGTTTATACAGACAGGGTTCATAAATTTTGCAACCGCATAGAGCTCTTTCGATGACGTTACGCCTTTCGTTTACACGTCGCCGATCAAGACCACTACTGACACTAGCTTGTTTCGAGGAGCTTTTTCAAAACGATTTGCTTTCGTTCGTCGCTTAAGCGGCGATGCCATATTCACCCCCAGTTTGACACACTGTGTAAGGTTCTTGCTCGATTGCTTGACGAGAGACTGCCTCCTTTCCTCATTCCTTCTCATTAGCAACATGATAATTTGCCTGAAAATAATTCAGGCTTGAACGAGATTTGAAGTAAGTGTACTCCGCAGTACAAACATATGAATTTCATATATTCACTTCAGTATAGTTCTAGTTTGTACTTACTAATTTTACTTATATATTATATCGAATTTGTCAGTTGCGTTCAGGCCAGCACTTAATATTTGACCCACTTAGAAGAAAAGAACAGAAAAAGTATAGAAAAGTACATCATTCAGTGTAAAAACATTCGTCTGATTCATTGTTATGAAATTTCACCTGGAGGAAGTTTGCAAAGTAAGTTGAGAGATCAATACACCAACAAAGGCCAACATACCAACATTTTTTCTTTAAATATCATTTGACAATATCTCCTAGAGCGACGCACGAATTACAGCATGCCAGTTACCAATAGCATCAGCAATACAAGAAATAGGGAGATGATTGATGTCCAAGGGACGCGTAGAGAACCATAGTTTCCTTTCCCGATAACGGCTCCATTTAATAGGGAAATGATCAAATGTCCAGAAATTTTTTAATTTTTCAATTCTGCCAATTAAATTAAACGTTTGTAACTATTTAGTACATACTTAAATGCGATCTGTTTTCGCTAAATCAGTATATCACAAAGTGAATGGATGGATAGATACCCGAAAACAATAAAGTAGGAAGTGGTATGTTTGATGTAACTGGTAAAGTCCTGTCTTCTCAGACAGAGAAATCGTTCCAGTGCGAATAAGGAGAGGGTAATGATAATGATAAATAGGCTACCTTGTAAATACTCTCTACTTATCCCGAACAAAGGAGCGAAGTCGAGGTTGAGGGAAAAAAAAAAAGAAAATTCAAATAATTCCCCTGAACCTCGACTTGGATCTTTTGTTTAGGATCAGTGAAGCGTAATTCGAAACTAGCTCATAACGTCTTCTATCAGGCAGATGCAAGATAGAAGTAAAACATCATGAAATAAAGAATTATCCAAGTAAAACGTTTTTTATTCGTTAATAATTTTATAACATAAGCTTCAAAAAGGACCCCACGGCCAGGCGGTCAGGAAGGGTACAATAAAAATGTGTGATAGCTGTTCAAAAACGTATTAATGGTTGACTATGTCCTTAACGCTGACCTCAGATTAAAAAAGAGTACAAAAAGGAAGCCATGCCTAGCTACAATTCGGAAAACACGTAGGGACGGTCAAGCTAATGACCTACAACAGAGATAAGTCCCATGTAGTGTTTAAACGAACGAACTAGTCGCAGTGACCGACTGCTTTGGTTAATGATCAGTTTACCTTTATTTTGTCGTAAGGACTGGTCGCAAAAACAGTTTACAAGACTGGACAATCAAAATTTCATAGGAAAATATTAGATATGTATAATCAAAAAGTTCAACGATGTACAAAACGTACTACACTTGAACTAAGCACTTAAGGTTAACTCTTAGATTAAAACGTATTTAAAGTTAACTATGGTCAACAACAACCTTTTTCTAACATGAGCCTCGAAAAGAACACCAAGGCCAGAGACAGCCGGAATTTGTATAATCCCAATGTTCAATGATGTTTTGTATAATTCAATGTTCAATGATGTTTTGTATAATCCCAATGTTCAATGATGTAAAAACGCACTAAACATCAACTTCATACTATAAGTAAATTTTTGGTACAAAAAGTACTAAAAGTTAACTATGATTAACTATTTTTTTTAACAATCTTTGAAAAGGACACCAAGGTCAGGCATAAAGAATGTATATAATCAAAATGTTCAATGATCTACAAAGCGTATTAAACATTAACTATATACTAAAAGTAAATTTTTAGTACATAATGAACTAAAAGCTAACTATGGTTAACGATTTTTTTAACATAAACCTTGAAAATGACACAAAGGCCTGACAGTAAGAATTTGTTTAATAAAAATGTTAATTGATGATGTAAAAACTAACCTGTACTACAGGTTAACTACACGTACTAGAAGTTAAGTTTTGCTTTTTCGAAGTGATTATAAATTGTGTCCAAAATAATGCTCGGGTTTATTAAAAACGTCATAACAAAAGAAGAGGCTATTCCAGCCTAACGATAGTGTAAAAGTTACACTCGTTAGTTAATTTTGTTGTAATCGGCTTTAAGGTGCACTTCAGTGATCCTTAATCGTATAGACGATCTGTTGCGCATTCACTGAACGACGCTGTCAGGTAGCTATCGAAAAGCATTTATTGCTGTCGCTGTCAGGGAACTAAAAAGGTCTTTAAACTCAATGTTAACGATCGGCATATTGTTCAGTTCAGGCCGAATTAACCTATGTTGTAGGCATTCCTTTAGTAGTCAAGAGCATAGTTTTTGATCTGTTACGTTACACGGCCTTAATGATACTTTCAGATTTAAACCGTCCTTTGGTTCTTATAAGTGCAAGCCGGTATTGTAGACGACCTGCGCAATCGTTAACGACGCTGTCAGGTAACAATTAAAACTGACTCTTTAACTCACTCAAAGCCGAAGAAGCCCACATATACGGTTACTTAACTATGCACGCCTTTGCTCTTATTTTTAAAAACAACGTTTTTGATCCATTATTTGGGCTTAATAATACTATCAGGGTACACCCGTTATTTAGTTGCGTCTAGGTATAATAAGTAGAAAGCAACCTTTAGTTATTGATAATCGCGTGGGAGATATAGTGCGATTAATTAACGACGTTATCAGGGAACTAGTGATTATTCTAACCCACATTTTACCGTCGTCATTTTTGTTTCTTATAACATTCTGGAGCGTTTTAGTAATTGACAACAGTGTTGAACTGATGCCTATTCATTAATGATGCTGTTAGGTAACTAAGGAAAAGACTTTTAACACACTCCGATAAAAGCAAACCTAACTAACAAGAAAACACCCCTGTAGACTTTGAATATAAAACGAAACGCAACTAAATAACAAGTGTTACTCTGATACTATGACACATACTCCAACCTGTCTCGCCCCCCGTCAGATCATATAAACGGTTGGTAGAATCTTTCACAGATTGTACTAAAAAATTACCTCGCCTAGGGTCACTCGGGGGAAGGGTTGTCTCGGGTACCCGAGACCATATAAACAGGTACCAACTCAATTCTTTTCTTTATTCCGCTCGCGCTTTTTCGATACGAGATACTTATAGCCATCTTGGTGCAACGCCCGTCATTGGCAATCCACCATATACATCTCAGGCCTTACTGGAATTTCCCTGTATCAAGGAAGCATATCACACGATAACTAGGCGGCCTCTACTTGAACATGGCCTGAAGGCAATGCAAGTAAACTCTTACCTCGTAGAGTGATTTACATTGGTGGACGTTGACGCGCCATTATCGGCGGGGGAAGAAGTAAATCCTGCGTTGTCCATTTCATTCATACTATAATGGAAAAATATGGTAAAAAGAGAAACGTTAAATGACAGGCTATTAACAATACGCCTTGGAGCTAACAAACACAGGTTGTAGTTATCAACTGTTCCCGACTTGGGGTACGTTGAAGAGTTGAACAAGTCTTTTGTTTCGCTTTGTGGCTCCTTTTAATAATTTTTTTTTGTTTGTCTAAACAAATCATAAATATCTATGGGAAAAGTAATATTTCTCTAAATCTTAGCGCTAGTACCTAGTTCTTATTGTTGAAAAAATTATTTCTGTTTGAAAACTATACTATTTAAAGAGGAGGTGCGCTATTTAGTATTTGCGCTATTTATCTATCTAGTTACATTATAATTAGTCACGCTGACTGCTGGGGCCATGCTTTCCGGTTTGTGGAAGAATGCGTAATTTCATGAAATTTTCGCTGCCTTTTTATAGTAGCCTAAATGACGGCAGAGGTCAAGAAACGGTTATTTTAAAACTGAATTGATCTAAATATTGTAAAGAAATGTCTAGCGACAGCAAAATCTATGATTACGTCCGTTATTAGAATTACGCATATGTACAAACGGGCTACTGCGTGTATTTTAAATTCAACATTTTCTTTGTGATGGCAATACTACCTTTCGATTAAACGTAACATATTTACGAACTGTAAGCACCTAATAGTGCCAATACAAGAAGAAATAACTGATTATATCATCGCAGAATGCAAGACATTCGTGCCAAGTCTTTAGTAGCTAAAAGTTGAAGTTTTAAAGTAAAATTTGTCATCCAAACATCTGATCATGACAGATCACAAACATAAAATATATAAAGCAAACCTCCAGAGACAACGCGGCAGTTAAAGTAGGTTAATTAAGACACATTAAAGTACTATAGAAGATAAAAGATACTACAAACCTCTTTAAGCAGCGTGCAGAAGGATTCACGTGCGTCTTTCCGGTTTACGTGGCTCACATAACGTCACGTAACGCAATCTCATGACATCTCATAACACGATACATTGGGCTTTAAGCGTACGAGTCTCCCAGATAAAGTAGCGTAAAGTGGTTTCTTAGTGCATACATTCAGTTAAAAAGGNCCCTCTGTCACAATCCCCTCTCTCTGGAAAGTTCGCCATACCGACGTTGATACCTGCGAAGATGTTAGGGGCATCCCGTTGCTTGAAATGAATAGTTGTTCAACCTGTGGGGTAGCTGCCGTGAACTGGCTTCGTACAGTTCTTAGGTACATGTCCATCATTTTGTACAAATCGTCATATACCCAGATAACCGCAGAACCATACTGGTCAGCTGTTTTGTGGTTACTAACAAGAATTCTGTAACGAGCCTGGTCTTCGTCTGTACCCGAGTGATAAACGGCGTCCTTGAATTCAGCTACGGTCATGTTTGCAATGACCCCACTTCTTCCACTATTGTCGATGACGAGACGAGTCATCAACCAATCCCTTACTTCGCAGTGAGTTTTGTCGCTGATTATCCTTTGAACCTCGGCCCCCTGACTGGTTTCCTTTGACGAATTGCCAAGCTGTTTTACTGCATTTATTCGCTGATCACCATGGCAGATTTGGTAGAGATTTTCACTGGTGATCAGTTTCTTAAAATCTTCCTCGTGCTTCTGAAGCTTTCTTCTCAGAACTTTCTTCTTTTGGGCCGATGACCAGGAAGACATCAGATCCCGGCGGGCGTTTAACATGTCAACGCTTACTTCAGACATGTCGGGTTTGCGTTCTTGCGTCAAAAATTTATAAAATAAACGCAAACTCATAAGATATGAGCGCACAGTTCCAGGTTGGTACTTGGAAACAGCATATGACAACCATTGCTTCAACAGAGTTACTCCTTCTTTTCCAGGAAGCAAGAGGAGGTACACGGGTGGTTTTGGATTGTCGTGTCTGACTTCCGTTTCATTCATCTGAAGCCTCTTTATGACGCTTAAAACCTGAGATTTGTACTGCTGCGCCATTTTTTCGCTTCGATATCCTCCGTCTACGTCCGTCAACCATTCATAGAACTCTGTCAGCAGTGTTCCTGTGCTTAGGTCAACGCCTCCAGGTTGGCCTTCGGTCTTGTTGTTATCGTTTTCACTGATTTCACAGTCGCTTGGGACCCAGTTTGTGTCCAATGCTTGGTCGTTATCGCTCTCATCTCCATCAAGTGCTTCATGAAATGCCTCATACATGCTATCTTCGTTGACTCGCGCCAGTTCCTCAGCAGACTCGAGCTCACTCTTGAAGGTATGGCGTTGAGCTATTCTTCTACTTTTAAACTGTTTTACCCTTTGGCGCCAGTCTTCGTCATTATCAAGGAATGATCCTTCGTTGATTTTGTCCTCGCCAATTACCTCAATTAGCTCAGTCAATAGTCCCTCGCATTCTTGAGAGAGAGAGGAGGAAGAGATTGATGTGATTGATTGTGTCGAGGTATCTGGATCCGACTCTTCGCTACAGAGGTAATCAGGATCTAATTTTCGAC